TACCACCGCTGGGGGGGCGGAGGAATGCCCTTAGGGAGGCGCTGAGAGGCAAGGGGGCCGGCAGGGGGCGCCGGAGGTGAGTGGCAGGGCACAATTCAGGGGTGGGAAAAAATCCCACCCCTGCCATGTTCGAGGCGAGGCCCCATAGGATCATCCCATTGATTTGCACGCTCTGGTGCAAGGAGCTCAATAGGGTGATCCTGGGGACCTCGCCCCGAACACAGCATTGGGAAAGGAAAGCAAAGCCAGAGTGGCTTTGCTCTCTTTTTCAAACATCCCCCCACCGCCGCTGTGTTTGGGGCGGCGGGGCCTCACCCCGAATGCAGCATTGGGAAAGGAGAGCAAAGCCAGAGTGAGCAAAAACCCAGAGCGGCTTTGCTCACCTTTTCAAACATTCCCCCGCCACCGCTGTGTTCAGGGCGGCAGGGCCTCGCCCCGAATGCAGCATTGGGAAAGGAGAGCAATCTAGTCCAATGACCTGCTCCAGCAGGGTTGGAAGAGAGTATGTGTATATGTGTGTGCATGGCTGTCAAAACTCCAAAAACAGGTCAAGTAGTTCCCGGAAGGCCAGTCATAAATTAGAACACTTGCTAAGCAACCGACCATTAAGTGAGGACCACTTGTATTTGGTTTGCCAGTCACCCAACCACGCCCACCCAGTCACGAGACCAGCAAGCCATGCCAACAGTCACATGACCAGCAAGCCACGTCCACCCAGTCATGTGACCAGCAAGCCACACCCCACCCGGTCACGTTACCAGCAAACCACACCCTCAAATTAGGCCACGCCCACAGAAATTTGAATCCCGCCCCGGGTAGGGGGCATTGAGGATGAGTTTGTAGCACCAAGGGAGCAGTGGACTGAAAAAGTTTGGGAACACTGCACTACATTATTCCTTATGGGAAATTTTTGTTTGGTATTTATTGTTTTTGGTACTTATCGGGTCTTCTGGAACCAATTAATGATGAATACCAAGGTACCACTGTAAAGGTATACCAGCAATGCTGAGGCTATTTGGATTTTGTTAAGAGATTTTGGTGAGCAGTGAAGTGAAACAGAAATATATCCAGTGAATATGATATGAGAACAAAGAGAATTAGAAGAAAAAAACGCGGACAGACATTAGGAGAGTTCATACTGCAGTCACCATAAACCTCTGTAGGAGTTTGGCAGAGAACAGAGTCACTTAGTCAGATAGGTTACAAACTACTTTAAAACTTCAAATGGCACACACCTGATTTGTCACAGTTGGGATCACTGGTAAGTAAAATAATACTTTCAATTCCTGAAAATTACATTTTCCATCTCTACACGTTAATATAATAAATCAAGTGTGCTATACAATCTCCCTCAAAAGAATAATCCCTAAATTAAAATCAGATTACATTTACATTTCAGCTAATCAGAACTAACTCTCGTATAAGATTTCACAAAGACTGCCATTATAACTGTTAAAAAAATCTGCTTACATATTGGTTCTACAATTAAAGATAGGACATTTTAAAATTAAAATTTTCACTCCACCTTCCAGAAATGCATTTGAATCATATCTTCTTCCTTTCCTGATATAAACATATTTCTTTTTTCAATACAATGTTGATGCATGAACTAAACTATTCTTATGTGCATCCCATCAACAGAATCAAATCTGACTAATGAATAAAAAAGAGCTTTTGTTGAAAAAGATATTAAAAAATAGAACTAGAACTGCAAAGCAATTTTCTAGATTTGAAGGAGGAAAAGCAGGTTTGTATTTACACATTTAGTCTCATTAAATCCAACTCAATGGGAAGAAACAGTGACATGAACATGGAGCACAATTATATTTTTATGGGTTTAATCGAAGTTCAGTTTTATTTAGAACTAGATACTTTTGCAGACTTCAAATGACACTGTTTAATTCCAAATAAGAGGATATGATCAGTAATGTAAGAAAAAAAACACAGGCTTTTTAATTTGTCCCTTCATATAAATGACCATACCTAGAAAATTAGAATTTTAAAAGCCAGAATTTTGCAGCATTAGGGAATTCCTGTAAGGCTCACTGCTGCTTATCTTTTTCCCTTGTTCACACAATGCATTTGAAAACATGGTTCCAAATCTAGCTCAAACCTTTGACCAACCATCCTTGTCTCCAAATTGTGGAGCAGCATTTCTCAAGACTGAAAGGTCCAGTAAAAAAAGCAACTGAATAATTGGATTCTTTTCACCACCCGAGTACTTCAGGTTTACAAAGGCATAGAAGTCTCTCACTTCAGTGCTCTTGGTCCTTTTGGCAATCTGCTAAAATGATATAAGAGGTGGAGTTTTTTCCCTTCTCACTAAACAATTTTTTGTGCTTGTACCTAGACCATGAGATCCAAAGAGACCAGGCAATAGAGTAGCAATTTACATCAACAAAGGGGATTTTGATGCACTCCCTGAATGGGGCTGCATTACCATGTTAATAGCTTTTTCACTCTCAGCCTGGGACTTTGGAAACTTTTTGCAAATGAAGAACAGTTCTGCTTTCTATTTTAACTGTAACAATAGCAGAGGAGCCTCTCAAACTGCATCAAATAGCAGTCAGTGAAATCCCTAACTACTCATCCTGTCTTGGTGGTTTATTAACCACCAAGCCAGAGAACAAAGGGAGAACAACCTGCAGCCTGACTTCACCCCCCATCTCTTAATCCCCTAGAGATGGCAGGAGGAATTGCCTGCAAAACTGTTAAATCAATCTTTTTACCTTCCCCCACTTTTTTTTTTTTTGAGTTTCCTTCCAAGTTTCCACCATAAAAGAAATTTCAGGTAAGTTTTCCACCATCAAATTCTTTATGGCCCCCTGATTTGCAGAATGATGATGAGATTCCTCTCCACCCCACCCCACCCAGCTCCAGTTCGTTTTTTCAGACCGTTGTTGTTCTTCACCAGTTCCCACACTCATCTACTTGTTCCTTTGTCATATGCTTTGAATGTACTCTTCTCCTGACACTGACTGCCTCTCACCATAGAGAATCAATGAAAATGTTGCTCCTGCAGTCAGCCGGTGGAACAGAGCCCATTCATTACCACAAAAATGTTCCACTGCCACCAGTGTAGACAGCAGTTTCTATCTTCTAACTCCTCTCAATGCATTTTCCAATTTGAAAATGACTCTTGTTTTCATAAAGCTTCCTACTTCCTTAAGATGGCTGGGAAAAAACCTTATGTATTTATTATTTCTTACCTCTATATGTGGTTAGATCAGCAGCAGAATTGCGATTTACAAACCTACTCCATAGAGCTGATTGTTGCCAATTATTTATTGGTTAATTATGTTCTGATTTTTTTTCTTTTGTGTTTTATACTGCACTTAAGCACAAGACCATAAAAAAGAGACAGCGAGCCAGTTTGAGGAAGTGGTGGGAAACCGGGAGACCCTGAATTCTAGTCCCGCTTGAGTCATGAAACTAGCTGGGTGACATTGGGCCAGTCACTCACTTTCAGCACTAGGAAGCTGGCAATGGTCAACTATTTCTGAAAACTGTAGGGATTATCCAAAGGTAGTTGCCAAAGCAACATAAAGAATGTACAGGAAAAGATAATAAACAATTTGATACTGATAAATACACTGGTTGTATTCTCATGTGCCCTAATCACAGCACAAATATGTCCTGGCAATGTTTGTTTTGCCAAGCCCTTATTATGTTACCTTCATCTCATTCTTTCTCAGCCCATGAGTGAGACAGGTTTATCATATTTTTCCCCCTGTTGGGCAGACCCAGATAGGTAAAATGTGTTAAGCTTTGTCACACATTATTTTGGAGAATATTCAGGTGACTGGCAGATGAGAGACAGAAGTTTGAGAGATAGGATATGGATTAGCAATGGGAATTGTCAATTTCACATAGGTATACTTTTCTGTCAATTCAAGGATGGTGACTAACTGTGTAACTTGGTAGTGCTAAAGGCCCAAAGTGTTCTTGCTTGATTTCTAGTAGAAAGCATTAACACCAGCCTGTATTAAATATTCTGTTTTTCTCAATGTCTGTATGAGCTAGTATCTTAATAGAGGAATCTCACATTTGCTTAAATATATGATCTATTTAATCAGCTCTTCTCATAAATAAGATGGTTTCGACTGAATAGTCAGGGAAATTCTCAATTCAGTTACAGGATCTTTTATTTTGGGTATCACATCCCACTTGTAAAATGTGGAACCCAAAACTCATTTGACATAAAGCTAAAGGGTAAATAATAACTGAACAACCCACTCATAATTCAACAGAACTGCGATTTTGTTAAATTTTTGAAAGCAGATAGCAAATATATTTTTGACATTGACAGTAACTCATTCATATAGAAAACAAACAACAGGAAAACATTTCGGAGATAAAGCAAAAGTTCAGAAATGTACATGCACACATGAGGATGTTTTACATTATTATAGTTTCAATCATATATAACCCATATTTAGATGGTATATCTGGATTATTACACAATCAACTTTTTTTCTGAACACTGAAACATTAAGCCACCTCTCCAAGGCAAATTCTCATGCATGATCCTCTACTATTGTAAAAGCAACAGCTTGTTCATCACACCTGTTACATACCTGCCATATACTGATATTTATTTATTCAAGAAAATTTATATAGCTGCCCAACTCACTCTCAGTGAATTACAATGGCCATTGCCCCAGTTAAATTTATTTTTGTTAACACCAAGATTTCAAGAGCATCCATAGTTTCAAGAATTTAGAAAACTTCAATATAAAATGCCTAATATTGACTTGCCTATACGAAAAATTTACTAAATTCAATTAAAAATAACTAGATTCAACTAAGATTTACGTTCTTCAGTTTGACACTTTCCAGGGTTGAACCAACTCCCATTTTTTCTGGAAAATAGCTTTGTTGAATTCAGGGAGCTCAAATTAAACATGTGGAGAGTACCAGGCTGGGAAAAGCACCAGCTTTAAGCACTTGCTTTCCACATTAATTACAATAAGACAAAGCTCATTTTATTGTAGTCTTACCTTGGAGAACCAAACCAGAATTTTCAATAATGTACAGGAAAGATGTCAATGGAGCAATAGGGGTCTTAGCAACCAGGATCTGCAAAAACAAAACAAAATGAAACCGCATATGGTATAGTGATATTAAGGTGTCCAGACTCAGAGGAACTCTGCTGGATAAATAGCACTTCTAATATATTTTCTCATACTGGCTCCACAAAGAGTTTGTTACACCATTCATGAAATCCTACTTCAGGTTCTATTTAGTGATTTAAACTTTGCAAAGTTCTACCCTGTCTTAACATAACCTTTTATTTATCTTGCTGAAATACACAACAGGGTATGTGTTTAACCAACCCTGCACGAAGATGAAAACCAAGAAATAATATGGTACAATGGGATCCTACAAAAGAGTTCTCATAGTAAGAATCCAGAATCACTTCTAGTCATTCGTAGCCAAACATTCATGTTTTACCATAAAAGCAAAACAAACAAAGCAGCCCCATGTTATAAACTCTCTAGAAATTCTAGAGAGATAATTTATGAGATTCTAAAGAGATTCCATTGTTGTCATTTCTGCTAAATGTGTATGCATTCCAAATGTGAAGCAGATTTCCTCACTCATTTCTGCCTCAGGGAAAAAAAGGAAAGACACTGGAAAGCAATTTCCTAGTCTGTGGTTTTCACAGTGGCATTTCCAACTTTGTAACCCTAAGGGTACCGTTTAGCAAGGCTGCTGATCCAAAGCACACTCTTGGTTCTTTCAGAATTTTGTTTCAATTACAGTGATGTCATGCCCATTTTTTAAAGACAAAGAAAATACACCAGACCATAGTACTTCCTTCAGGTTTATGTGCGTAATGGACGTACATCTATATGGAAGGAAGTATGCAGCAAGGCTCTGTCTTAGGCCATAGTACTCTTCAACATACTCATAAATGATTTAGATGATAGAATGGGAACTCATCAAATGTGCAGACAACACTAAGTGGGGCGGAATAGCCAACACTTTCAAAGATAGTGCCAAGATCCACTGGGCACTATCTTGACAGACTTGACCACTAGGCACTATCCAACAAAATGCAATTCAGTGGTAGAAAAAAGTAAGGTTTTACATTTAGGCAAGAAAAACTAAATGCATGATTATAGAATAGATGTTACTTATTCAACAGCAATAACTGTGAGAGGAATCTAGAAGTTCTAGTGGACAACCATTTAAGTATAACCCAGAAGTGTGCTACAGCTGCCAAAAAAAAAAAAGCTAATGCAGTTCTAGGCTGCATCACAGAGGAATAGTATCAAGATCACATGGTGCATTAGTAGCACTATATACTGTCTTGATGAGACCATTTAGAAAACTGTGTTTAGTTGTGGTCAGCATGATTCCAAAAAGATGTGAAGACTCTAGAAAGAGTACAGTGAAGAATCACAAAGATGATTAGGGGACTGGAAGCTAAAACATACAATGAACAGTTGCAGGAATTTGGTATGTATAGTCTAACAAAGGCGACTTTAATACCTCTCTAAGCAAACAGAAAGAAAACAATTCAGTTTGCAATGCTGAGCTGTTCTCAGGGATAATTGGCTGGAATTCATAATGATATTGGGGACAGATTTGATGAATGTATGTTTACTTTAATAAATGTTCATCGTATCATTAAAAAATAAAATATGGCAGACAGTCTACCTGAAGACTAATGTGGAGAGGAAAGATAAATGACTGACTTTAACAATGGGGGTAGGAAGAACTACAACTATTGAATATGGTGTGAAGACAGGAGAGCTTAGGCTCCTTCCAGGATTGAAAAAAAGTATGTCAGATTTTACTTGAAGCTACATCTATAGAGTTGTCCTCACAAACAACCTCTTTCAATTTATATCTGACATCTTCTAGCCCACACATTTCTTTTGCAACTGGGAGGCCATGAAAATGCCAGACAAATATACAACACAGCAAGACCTGGTTTAGGAACCTGTGTCAGTGGTTTGCTTTGAGTAATGTACAGGTGAAACTTGAAAAATTAGAATATCGTGCAAAAGTTCATTTATTTCAGTAATGCAACTTAAAAGGTGAAACTAATACATGAGATAGACTCATTACATGCAAAGCAAGATAGGTCAAGCCATGATGTGTCATAATTGAGATGATAATGGCTTATAGCTCATGAAAACCCCAAATCCACAATCTCAGAAAATTAGAATATTACATGCAATCAATAAAACAAGGATTGTACATAGAACAATAACGGACCTCTGAAAAGTATAAGCATGCATATGTACTCAGTACTTGATTTGGGCCCCTTTTGCAGCAATTACTGCCTCGATGCGGCATGGCATGGCAGCTATCAGCCTGTGGCATTGCTGAGGTGTTATGGAAGACCAGGAGGGTTCAATAGGGGCCTTTAGCTCTTCTGCATTGTTCGGTCTCATGTCTCTAACCTTTTCTTGGCAATGCCCCATAGATTCTCTATCGGGTTCAGGTGAGGCGAGTTTGCTGGCCAATCAAGCACAGTAATCCCACAGTCATTGAACCAGGTTTTGGTGCTTTTGGCAGTGTGGGCAGGTGCCAAGTCTTGCTGGAAAATGAAGTCAGCATCCCCATAAAGCTCGTCTGTGGAAGGAAGCATGAAGTGCTCCAAAATCTGCTGGTAGGCAGCTGCGTTGACTCTGGACTTAATGAAGTACAGTGGACCAACACCAGCAGATGACATGGCTCCCCAAATCAACCCATACTGTGGAAACACTGGATTTCAAGTATCTTGCAGCGCGTGCCTCTCCATTCTTCCTCCAGACTCTGGGTCCTTGGTTTTCAAATGAGATGCAAAAGTTGCTCTCATCAGAAAAGAGGACTTTGGACTACTGAGCAACAGACCAGGTCTGTTTTTCTTTAGCCCAGGTAAGATGTTTCTGTCGTTGTTTGTTGTTCAGGAGCGGCTTGACAAGAGGGATACGACATTTGAAGCCCATGTCCAGGATCCATCTGTGTGTGGTGGCTCTTGATGCACTGACTCCAGCCTCATTCCACTCCTTGTGAAAGTCCCCAACACTTTTGAATGGCCTTTCCCTGACAATCCTCTCCAGGCTGCGGTGATCCTTGCTGCTTGTGCACCTTTTTCTTCCACACTTTTCCCTTCCACATAACTTTCTATTAATGTGCTTTGATACAGCACTTTGGGAACATCCATCTTCTTTTGCAATTACCTTTTGAGGCTTTCCCGCCTTATGGAGGATGTCAATGATGGTTTTCTGCACAACTGTCAGGTCAGCAGTCTTTCCCATGATTGTGATTCCTTCTGAACCAGACTGAGAGACTATTTAAAGGCTCAGGAACCCTTTGCAGATGTTATGGCTTAATTAGCTGATCAGAGTGGGACGCTTTGAGCCTAGAATATTGCACCTTTTCACAATATTCTAATTTTCTGAGATTGTGAATTTGGGGTTTTCATGAGCTGTAAGCCATTATCATCACAATTATGACAAATCATGGCTTGAACTATCTTGCTTTGCATGTAATGAGTCTATCTCATATATTAGATACACCTTTTAAGTTGCATTACTGAAATAAATGAACTTTTGCACAATATTCTAATTTTTCGAGTTTCACCTGTAATGCCAGCAAAGGCAGCTCTGGATAGGAGGCAAATGCAACAACATGCTTCATGGTGGACACCTGCAATGTAAGCGCCTTCCCTTCCTTAGGACAATTACTATATTTCCTTCAAAGAAAGAGACAGCTGGGACACCAGGATCAAGCTCATTCTTTAAGAAATACTGTATGTCTATAATGCAGAAATCTTTACTCAAAAGTGAGGGTCTTAGTTAAGTGTCATCAAGTTGGGTCCAGAGCTTGCCGACTCTATAGACAAATGGCCTTCAATCCATCCCAGAGACAATCCACAGCACTTCCAAGGGCATTCCAATGAAGTCCTTGATCTTGACTATTTGTTGTATGTGTGTTTCCCTTTTAGTTTCCAGTCATCTTCCTTCCTTCCTTCCTTCCTTCCTTCCTTCCTTCCTTCCTTCCTTCCTTCCTTCCTTCCATCCATCCTCCCTCCCTCCCTCCCTCTTATCTTCATTCCTTCCTCTCTTTCTTTCTTTCTTTCTTTCTTTCTTTCTTTCTTTCTTTCTTTCTTTCTTTCTTTCTTTCTCCTTCCTTCCTTCCTTCCTTCCTTTTCTTCCCTGCCTTTATTACTGAAAACTTTTTTGGACTCAACTGAGGCTCAGAAGCATTCTTGGTAATAAAAGCTTTGCAATGTGCCCCCTCGCTTAATTCAAAAGCCTTTAATGTAAATATTCAGGTAGGACACACTACTTGGCAAGCAACCAAGAAGATATGTATAATCTAACTGATATATTATCCTCTTTTATCATCTGTAGCAGAGGACAGTGGGTGTAAATATATAATTTTTCTGCAACATTTTCTATTGAATAACCTGGTGATTGTGTTGTATTATTGTCCATAGTAATAACATTACTATTTTATTTACTCATTTGTATTGTAATGTCTTTAGTTTGGGGAAACTTTTTGCAATGACAAACACATACAAATAACATGCTTCCCGGGATATAGAATAAGTGCAATCCTACCTACAGAAGTCTTCACAAGACTTGAACAGAAAGCTCTATTTTCTGTATGAATTGCTGTTCACTTAGCTCTGACTGTGACAATCACACTCTTGAATTCCTTTAATGAACATTCACTCAGCAACTGTTTGAAGTTATGATGGTGCTGAACAAATGATAATTAAGACTGGTCCTTGAAGTTATGGTTATTGCAGAGCCTCACAACTGCACTGGGGACTACCACAACTGCCTCCACTAAGTGATGTGGCCCTGTGATATTTCACCAAATGACTGCTTCGCTTAGTGATGGAAATTCCAGTTCCCGTTAAGAGTCATTAAGCAAGAACTACCTATATCCTCTTTAAGATACATCACACTAATTGATATAATTTTGCTGCCACCCCATACAAATAAGACTGCAAGAAGATTGTAGCTATTACAACTCTTAAAAATTCAAGTAGTCTTTGAAAAGAGGTACATATATTATTAATTGGATAATTGCCAAAGGAAAAAGCATCCAACTACATTTTCAGAAAA